TCCTTTTGTGGATGTGTTATTTGTCTTTGGCAAGGGAAAAATGGGAGGGAGAATAGGAAGTAGAAAGGATCAGGAGACTGCATGTGGTATGTGTATATACCAGTTCTTTATGATGAATGTGTTATGCATCTCCAACATATGCTAATAAAAGGGAAAAAACTTATGTTTAATGTTACAAGAAGCCACATAGTTTCCAATGTAGCTGTTCTATTTCATATTTCCATCAACAATGTATGAGAATTCTGGTTACTCTGGGTCCTCTCCAACATTTTATCTTTTCAACTGTTTAATTTCAGCCTAAATAGTATGTTGTAGTGTAGCATTCTAGCTTTAATTTGCACTTCCTTGATGAATGACTCTGAATTCTGCATGTGATTATTGATAGATCTATATATTTAATACCCCATCCTGACCCTCCTTGGGTAACCCTTCTGGGTTATAAACAATTGAGTGTAACCAACTTTTGAACCACCCAGTTGTAACCATTCTATCCCATACTAAAAATAATCTATGATAAACAATTTAGCACATATGCATTGTTATTATATAAAATATAAAGTATAGATTTTTATTTGAAATAATCTATAATGAAATAATCTATATATATTATAATCTATAATGTATATAATCTATAATGTATTACTTATTTCTCCATTGTGTAAGACTTACTTAAGCAAAACAAAAGATGAACAGTGGAAAATAGTCATTAATCAGTAACTCATAGAACTAATTAGATGAATAGCATGTGAGAAAATAGAGTTTCAATTTTTCTTTTTATGAGTGCATGTTTGCAGTTCATAATGAGCACATTCCTTATGGGGAATTGGTACTTGTACATATTTTAACTCTTGTTTCATGCTCCCCTTGCTCCCTCCATCTCTTGATCCACTTCCCTTTTGCAAAAGATCTATCTCCCCCTTTCCTATTATTTTTAAATTTTCTATTTATATTTTAGGTTTCTTATATGAGAGAAGCTGTGCAATGTTTAAACTTTTGTGTCCTTTTATTTCACTTAATATTATGATCTCAAGGAGCATCTGTTTTCCTACATATTATTCACATTTATCTTTCTTTATGACAGAGTAGTACTTCATGGTGTATAAATATCTGTTATGATTTGTGTTTGGATGTCCCCCCAAAGCCTCATGCAGTCATGGGGTGGGCTTTTAGAGTTTATGATTGATCCACGATCCAATGCTGGGATTATGGGTGTGAGTGCTACACCCACCCTGAGGCAGATAGTTTGCATATGTAAGAGAGAGAAAGAGGCTGCTTGCTGCCATTCCTCCCTTTTGCTCTTGTTGTTTTGCTGTCTTCCCCTGCCATGAACAGTTGCCCTCTGCCATGTGCCACCCTGCCTTGGAGCCAGCTGAGTACAACTGAAACCTCCACAGACTGTGAGCTAAATAAATCCTTCCTTCCTTAACTTTGGCTGTCAGGTATTTTGTCTGAGCAATGAGAGAAAAATAACTAAGACAATATCATATACTCTTTTTTGTTTTGTTTTTTTTTTGGTTTTTCTCCGGTATCGGGAACTGAACTCACGACCTTGGGCTTGCCAGGCAGGCGCTTTTGCCGCTGAGCTAAATCCCCAGCCCAATATCATATACTCTTTATTCATTCATCTATTAATGGACATATAGTCTGCTTCCAAGATTTAGCTATTCAGAATTGTGTTACTATAAATATGGGTGAGAAAATATATTTTAATAAAGTGTTATTCTCTCTACTAATGTAGACTTTTAACTCCTTTTTGAATAATTTTAACTTTGTAAATTTATATTATTGTGTGTTCTTAAACTCAAGTCCTATTAAAAATTTCAATACAAATGTGTAATGGGGCAATTAATCAGATATTATCTACATCTAATAAAATTAGCAATGTGATGTTTCTTGAACTCCCATAATATAGTAAGATGTTTTGATTTTTCTGTTTCCTTGTAATAGTATTTCCCTGAACAGACTGCAGCCTTTAGGATACTCTTCTTTTATGAAGTGGTAGAACTGAATAAACTGAAATAGAAAGCTTACTTTCACTTGAAGCTCTGCTCTTTGAAGTCTATGTTACACTGATTCCTGGTGGTAGTATACTGTAATGACTAAGCTAAATAGTCCCTTAACACAGCGTTTGAATGTGGAATTCTTAGAATTTTACTCCCTAGTTAGGGCAGGTGTCTCAGTTTGTAGGAATTAGTTTACACCTCTCCAAAATGCCCATCCATATGGTGTCTAAGTAATCTAATAAATGATGCCCTAATGTAATAATTTGATTTTATTTCAATTTTCACTTTATTTTTGAACCTACTTTACCTATTTTAGACTGAAAATTATGTGATCTGGTACTACAATTGATTTTACTGTATTTTAATTAGTCCATGTTTGTACCTAATCATCACATTCTTCATGGGGAGTTGGTTCTTATACACAACGTATCTTAATTATTTTTATGTTTTTATCCTTTTTAGCCCTCTTCCCCTTCCCTCCCTCTGCAATTATATTTTCAGTAATTTCTTGCAACATCTCTGAGTTTATTTTGATATTTTCATGCTTTGTTATAAACTCTTAAGGTCAATAAATGCCAGGTTTTAATTAATACATGCTTATAAATTAAATCTGAGTTTTAAATAATCTTTTAACCTTCAATTTGATGTTTGTTAGTATTAATATTAACCATACTAATTTCATTTGTGCTTGAGTATAGGTTTTTTGCTAATCATTTTAATTTATTGATTCTATGTAATGTTATTTTAAATGTATTTACTATAACCCCTCTGCTGTTGCATGGTGGTATTGCTATAATCATCTGGGATTGCAATAGATGGGGTATATAAGAAAGCTCTTGATGTCCTATGTACTAAGCCTACACATCATTCATTCAGTGAGTATTTATTGAATACAGTTTATAGCCCGTCACTCTTTCCAATGTTGAGAATTTAACCGTGAGCCAAGCAGGTAAAATCCTTCCCTTACAAAGGTAACTTTTGGTGATGGTGGAGCAAGGATGGGTACATAGAACCGTCTCTTCCTAGAGTCACTGTGGGTGAGAAGGTGACCATAGGCAATGGTGCAGCTGCAGTTCAGATCCAGTACTCATTACGTGAATGTCCAGTTGAACACTGGATTTCTCAGAAGCATGGTTAATTGGGTTTATACCCATATTCTCTCTTAAGATTAAAATACTAATTTATTTACACAAATATTATATAGTTTAAAATAAGTATGTAAAGAAACTCATACACCTGGCACAGGTTAGTACTTATTATACTAAAACTTCAGTGTTTATAAAATTTATCTGAGCCAACTCTAGCGCTATACCTGTACCTATATATTTAATGCATCCTCAATATTTCCTTGCTTCTTGGAGGCTTATTTGTGGCTCTGAGTCCTCTGCATTCCCTTCCAGGTGTTAAAGCACCTACCCTTCTCTTTAACTGAGTCTTTTTGAGCAGCCTAACACTACTGCCCTCTATTAAGTATGCTTACTTTATATTTATTTGAATCAAAGAAAGATTGCTTTGTGCTATTTATCTCCACAGAGGCCAGACAAGAAGGTAACCACTAGAGTCTACATAGGGCCAGCATCCTGGCTCTAGTCTTGGTTGTTTTTTTTCTAATTACAGAGTGACCTCTCTCTTTCCATCAGGTATTTGTGTTTTACTGATTAATTACCACATCTATTTAAAAGTAATTTCCTTACAAACTCCTCTTGCTGACTTCTTAATTATGTTTTCCTCAAGTCTGCCCATTGTCAGAGAACTTGCTCGATATTAAAGAGATTACACTTCTTTTCCCATGGATATTTTAATTCTTTAAAATTGATCTTAATCGACTTGAAAGCAAAGACAATAGTTCAGGGCACAAGAAGCAAATTGCAAGGTGGAGAGGGAGACTGAGAAGAAATTGTAAAACAGAGTAGAATGAAATATACGATATATGTTTCTAAATCCAGAGTAACACGATCAAGTTTAGTTGTATAATTCTTGAAAGGTATGAGGTAAATTGAAAGGATTATTAAGTGACTGTTTATGTTGGGGGATGGTTAGACAGGAAAATGGAAGGAAGAAACAAATGGATAGATAAATATGTAATGATTTGCTCTTAATATCTTCTGAGAATGGAAGAGTAGGTCTCTTTGCTGGACACTGTGGGCAGTTTGGAATCAACTGGTTGGATGTAAATCCTTGAAGATAAATGAGTTTAAGTAGGAGTTTGTAATTTACTGACTACTAAACTAAGAAATATTTGGGGGATGTCGACATTTGGTTTTACGTAAGCAAACCTACACTTAGTGGATTACTGAGATGGGGCCATACTCTTAAAGGTTGAAGTTAATTATACAACTCCTGAGGTACAAAGACTTGGAGACCCCTAAGCCAAGTGATTTCTCTATGTTAGCCTGTATCCCGTGCTAGCCCCACTAAACCAAATCCAACCCAGTGTGGAAATAGAGATTTGGGGCCTCCCAGAGTGTGTAGCATGAGATTTGGGGCCTCCCAGAGTGTGTAGCATGCATGGTAGCTCATCTCTGGAATTTTTGCTAGTCATTAGTATTATTTTTGGTCTGATTTATATTTTGTGTGAGTTAGACTCATGCTCTGGCCTTCTGCACTTAGGTGCCCACTCAGCTCACTGCTCATCTTTTTGTGGGTTATTTTCTTTTTTCCCTCCATGATGTAGTGCTTACAGAGACCTCCCCCAAACTCAAGTGGAGAGATTCAGTCTAGTTCTTCTGATGTCCTACCGCCTTCTAGATTTTTTTAAAGAAGTATGAACTTTTTTCTAAATACAAATTTACACAAAGGTCAATTTTATCATCATAGGTTTATTGTAGAGTTGTAAGTGCCATGATTTTAAAATACATGCACAAGTTCATTAATGTTCTTTCCTTTAAAAGATGTTGAATTTCCTTCTCCTTGAGTATGGGCCAGACTTAGTGACTTACTTCTAACCAACAGAATGTGGCAAAACTAATGCTCCTGTTCTTGCATCTCTTATTGTAGTTCCCATGCTACAAAAACATGCAGGCAGCATGGAGGAGACCCCACAGGCAGAAAAACTGAGGCCTCCTGCTAAAGCCAGCGTGAACATGTCATGAGAATGAGCCAACTTAGAAGCAGCTCCTTAAACCTCAGCCAGATGTAAGGTGACTGCATCCCTGCCTGGTCTGACTGCAGATGTGTGGTTGTTGACAGCCAGAACCTGAATTTCTGGCTTTCAGAAACTGAAAGATTGTAGCTGGTTATTGTTTTAAACTACAGTGTCTCCTTGGTACTTGTTAATTGGTTCTGCAGGCATAAGGAATATCACAAATAAAGAGCAATAAATATATTACTTCTGCTGGAAAGGGTATTGAGTCACGAATAGCCACTCACAAATTCTAACTTTCACAATGAGTACAGAACAAAGATGAGCAATATTTTCACGTCCAGATGCATATAGTACCAAATTTGATGAGTGTCAAGGTATGACTAATTTTGGGGTGATACACCATACAACAATAGGTAACTAATACAGATTTTGATAAAAGTGTATTAGCAGAAGAAAAAAAGTGGAAAAAAAAAAAAAAGGAAAAACAAATTACAAGTGGACTGGAGCTGACCCTAAAGGGAGAGAAAGAAAAAGATTTCAAAGACTGTACTCGAAAAGCCTACAGAGTTCTGGAGGGACTGGATGAAATATGATCCTGTCAAGGAAAATTTTTGGTGGAAGCTAGTCAAGAAGTAAGGAAAATAGTTTTTGGAAACCAGAGGAGAGGGAATTCTTGTCAAGTGGTGATAGGAAGTTTAGTGACACTGTCACTTGTGGTAATATGGAAAGTGCACCAAAACAAACACAAATTAGTTATCTTGTTAGGAGATTTCTAGGCATAGTGTTGAAGGGGCTTCCTCATCTCTTCTTGCTGCTTAGAGTAAAATGGAAGAGGAGAGACAAGCTGAAAAAAAGTATAATTCCTAAAACAGACCTGAAGGGTTTGAAAACTCCTGCTGTCTTTACATGACAAACTACTAAAACGAAGAAGTTTGCTTTGGGACAAAGATCAAGTCCAGGGCATTCTCAAGAATGCACAGTGTAAAGGAGAAGATGAGAATATGAATATAAAAGTATATTTTTGAAGAGGTTGATTAAAGAATATTTGGTGAGACAAAATGCTCTGTAAAGAATTTAAGCATGTACAACCTTATAAGGGGTCCTGAACCAGAAACACTTAGCCAAGTCACACTTGAATTTCTAACCTAGAAAAACAGTGGGAGACAAAAATATTTATTGTTATTTAAGCCATTAAGTTTTGGTTAAATTTGCTGTATAGCCATAGGTAATGAGTGCTATATGCCACTGACTTCATAGTACAATTGATGAGATGTCTGAACTCAAAGTAGATTTCACTGGCATTGAAGAGGATCTCTTCATCATCTGTGTATGGAAATGCTGAAAAAGTAACCCAAAGAACTTGAAAAGTCATACAAGTGATTAAAAATGGAATTCCCATATAAAAGAACTAGAACAAAATCATAGTCCCACTGTCAATACAGGATGAACACACGAGCTTGGCCTGTTGAGGTTTCTTACATAGGATCATGGGTGGGGAGAGGTTGATATGTCGTATAGGGGGAGAGGCTGGTAACAAGCACATTCATAGAAGTATGAGAGTTTTTAGAGTGTGCTTTCTTCACATACCATAAAGTTCTCTTTTCCAGCCTGGAAAAGCAACAGACAAAATTACTCAACACTCAAGATTTAAAATTGTTTTCCCCCTGTGGTGCTGGGGAATGAACTCAGAGCTTCATACAGGGGATGTAAGTGCTTTACCACCAATTATGTCCTAACCCTTTTAAAATTAAAAAAAATTTTTTTTGAGATAGGATCTCACTAAATTACCCAGGCTGCTTCAAACTTGGTCACCCATTTATTATTGTCCCTGTTCTGTAAGGAGAGCTCTTTGAAAATGACTAACAGAGTGCATGTAAAGAATACAGACATCACTTTCTCCCAGTGACAAACTTATGGCAAACCTCTTTCTTGTGAGATCCGTCTATCTATTGATTGATCCTTTGCTTGATCAGTCTATGTGTATTTTAGTATTCAGAGATAAGACAGTTGTCATGAGAATATGCATTACTTGAACTTAAAAGTGGCTGGAACTAAAAATACAAGTTAACAAAAGGATAAAATACAGGAGACATGGTTAGGAAGCAAAAAAGGCAGACTTTTTGGAGATGAGAAAAGAGATCAGGAGAAGGATGAGGTAAAGAGACTGAAATTGATTAGGATCCCCAATATGAGCATGACCATCATGCACTATAAACACACATTAGGAAAAAAATGGCAGTCATTTTTTTTTCCATGGAAAGTTTTATTTTGCTGATTCTGTTGACAAGGAAGCAGGTCAGCCCTAGTGACAGGTAAATGAGGTGCCCAGGACACAAAAGTTAAGGGTTTGTCACTCTGGTGTGACACCTTCTTGGACTTTACATCCTAAGCACCTCATTTATCTCACCCCAACCCCAGATTAGCCTTTGTTATAAGGTCACATGGTAGATATTTTCCATAAGCTAAATGTTCTAAATGAGGATATCTATGGTACAAAGAAACTATATTTAAAACAAATAATAAAATAAGTAATACAACAAAAGATAAAACAAATGAAAGAGATTTTGTCAATGTTTTCATTGGCAAAGTTTATATGAATTGTTAACAATGTTTCCATTTTTCAACCTTGTTTGAGTTTAATTGCATTAAATGAAGTACTTTAATATGAGAATGAAATAATTTGCAGTCTTTGAAAAACGTTTTAAAAAGCCTTTTGACTTTGTAGAAGTTTAAAAAGTAAATGACTAAACTCAAAGAGTAACAAAGCCTTTTCCACATCAGGTGTTTCCTAATTTTTAAAAAAATTGAAGTCAAGTTTAATAGCTTACTAAATTGATGAGTGACCATCATAGAAACTATTAAAGAATTACTATATTTTGAGCATACATATATTTTTAAAATAACATTACTTTAAAGAGTTTCTTTTATTTTTATTGACTTATTTATATGGATAAGTTTTTTTATTATTTCTACACAAGGAAGTTATAAATCATTGATAACCTGGCAGAAAAACTCAGTAGCTAGAGGATATTAGTCATAGCAAATAAAATACATTGTCTTTGATTTACTTATTTAAATTTACTTTTATTTTAATATATTTACTATTTTTGATACAGAAACATGGCCAGTCAAAACCAAAATCTTTCAAACATAAAAATACATTACATAAGATAAGAAAATGAGGTGGAAAAGAAATGAAATTAGGACTCATAAAGAAAAAGAAATGATGAAAAATTATGCCTATTAAAAGATATTTTCTAATTGCTTTTCAGATGACATTGGGTGCATTCAGGGTGATACAGCCTTAGACTCCAGTTGCTTTTCAAAAAAGTAGGTAATACTGTGTATCATCTAGCTATAGTTTAAAAGGTTATATAACAGTTACATAGTAGTTATATAGTTAAAAGTGACTGTAGTTTATTTAGATACAGTGTGAAATATTTTGGTAAATTTATATATTGACATATACATAGAATAATGTGGAAAACTATCTGCATAGGTAAATACATTTTAACTAAATTAACATTTCATGTACTCAAAGCCAGCACCCTAAGAGACCTCTTCCTGCTGCATGGTCATTTATTTCTCTGTGAATAAATATTGACTTTACTCACTTCTCTCATCAGCTATTAGTTCTGAATTGTCAGCAGATATAATTGTCAGCACTTACATTTTAGGTCAATGGAGAGAGAGAGAGAGAGAGAGAGAGAGAGAGAGGCTGAGTACTAAATGAGTATTGAACCCAGAGCCTACTCATTAACTTACATCCCTAGTCCTTTTTACATATATGCTTATGTTTATTAATTTTGAGACAGCTCTTACTAAGTCATCAAGTTGCCAAAGCTGTCTTTGAACTTGTGCTTTTCCTATCTCAGCCTCCCAAAGTATTAGAATTAGAGGTATGTGACACCACACCCAGCTATACTGATGGTTTTAAGATAGTGGAAATCACTATCTTTGCAATGGTTTTAGTTTCTGATGAAAAAACATAGACATTGATTTAATGGTCCAATTTTTCAAAATTAGTAGTTATCTAGATCAATGAAGTATGTTAAGAAAAAGAAAGTGGGAATTTTTAAAAAAGGAAGAAAGCAACACAAACAGAAAGAAGACATTGTAATATGATTTCTTAATGTAATCAGAACATCTTGAAAGTATTGAAACTAATGAGCTATTTCATCACAGTTGACAATATAAGGTCGGGCTGGGGATTTAGCTCAGCGGCAAAAGCGCCTGCCTGGCAAGCGCAAGGTCGTGAGTTCGGTTCCCGGTACCGGAGAAAAACCAAAAAAAAAAAAAAAAAGACAATATAAGGTCAACAAAAGTAGCATTTTATGCCAAGGAACAAATAATAAAAACACATTAATAACTGTCTTGGTTACTTTTCCCTTGTTGCTGGGACAAAGTACTTGACACCCAAAATTAAGGAAGGAAAGGTTTATTTGCTTACAGTTTGTGGAGGTTTCAGTCCATACTTGGCAGGTTACAAGGCAGAGTGGCACATGGCAGAGGGCTACAGCTTATGGTGGCAGAACACAGCAAAAGCAACAAGCACTAAAAGGGAGGAATGGCAGCAAGCAGCCTCTTCCTCTCCCTTACATATGCAAACTATTCACCCCAGGGCGGGTGTAGCTTTCACACCCATAATCAATCAAACTGTAAAAGCCTGCCCCATGACCCCATGAGGCTTTGGGGGGACACACAGATACAAACCATAACAATAACATTAATAATGAAAGATCTTATTTACAATAAAAACACAAAGGATAAGAGTATTTTGGGATTTGATCTAAGAAAGTCATATAACACCAGTATGAATAAAATTATACATGAAACCAAAGACACTCTAAAAACAATAGGCCTCTCCACCATTGCAGGAACCTCAGTGAGCCTCTCAGGAGGGGGGAAATCCTGTGCAATGCTGCTCTGCCACCGCAGGAACCACAGTGAGATGTATGGAAGGAGACAAACCCTGCCCATTGCCTCTCTGCCATCACAGGAACCTCGGGAACCTCAGTGAGAAACCCCATCCATCACCTCCCTGCCACCATGGGAACCTCAGTCCAGAGGAATCTAGGTGCCCTGTCCATCTGCCTACAATGTGGAATGGGGAGCCAGCACAGGAAATTCCCAGGACCTAGCAAAGAGCTTGTCCAGAGGAACCCAGGGTAAATCCACTTTAATAAGGGGAAACACTTTGCTTACACATTCCTAATTTGCAGTTGGTTCTGTTACATAGTTATAGACTTTGCTTCTATGGTCTAAAATACAAAATCAATAGTTACCACAGTTTGTCAGTTTCTAAATTGTGCTTGATACTAACATTATTGGTAACTGTACTACTGTAGCTAGGATGTCATATTGGTTATAATCACTTGTTCTCCCTTGTGTAACAGTATTGGGGAGCTCTGGGGTAATAACCTCACCACAACCTTGCTGAGCCAAACAGAAACCAACATCCCACTCTCATTTAATTGGGAAGGTAGGATATTGGGACAGACACAAACCAAGAGAATCTTACACACAGAAGATATCCCTGAAGAACAGACTCTTCCTAGAGAGGCCTTGATACTAGTGATACAGCTGCCTACTACTAAAAGTCACAAGCATCACCACAGAAAACAAAATAAAAATTTTTTGAAATAGCAAATGTAAAGATAAATGAACAAAATATAATCTCAGACCTCCAACCTATGTAGAACAAGTCCAGGAGACCTCAACAGGTCATACACCTGAAATTTATGAAATGATAGCAAGTGAAGTAAGGAAACAACTCCTTGAGAATACAGGAAATTAGATCAAAAATAATCTCTCAGGTAAAACAAGAAATGATAACCATAATAAAGAATTGTTCAAAATATCTAAAGAAGACATAGATAGAAAAATATAGAAGCATAGGAAAATGATGGAAATCTTAAATGAACAATATAGGAATTAGAATGCATGAAATAGATTCAAAAAGCTATCCAGGAAATTAAAAATTCCACTAAAAGCTGGAAAAACAGCTTGAACAAAACTGATGATAGACTTTCAGACCTTGAAGACAGGGTTGCAGCTAGCAATCATGAAAGGAAAGCTCTCTTGAAAATAACAAGGAACTGAGAAACAA